TTTCGAAGTACATTGGAATGGCCAAAAGAGAGATAAACAAGCTTCTCAAACAAAAAGAAAAGAAAAATGAATAATACATCTGCTTTATGCAGTGTGATTAATGGTGTATACATTGTCCTTGGGGACAGTGTCTTTTATGCTGTCTGGATACTAAAATGTTACAGATGTAGCTCTTTGCTGTCCCTCATTCTGCCCTTAGTTAGTAGAAATTCTGACTTGCCAAGTAAGGCTTTATGCCCAGTGTCTTCATGGGTGTGTTGTCATCCGCTGGCCTTATATGGACAACTCATTCATCATTACCACTCGTCTTGGTTTTTCTCACCCAGGGTTAATTGAACTCTTACTTTTAAAGTAATATAGTGGTGAACTTCATCCTTTAGTACAGTTAACAGTGGCCTGGGATAACTGTTCAAGTTGATCTTTGCTGTAGCTGGATACAAGATAGTGGTCTGTGACTACAGGAAGCTGGTTCTACTGTCTACTTCCACAGTCTGCTTAAACAACTGTCTGGCTTCGTGAATATAGAAACCAAGTTTACCACTTCTGATGAAGAGACCAGTTAAGATTCATTCCTCATTCTGTTTCGACACTGTGGGAGAAGAATCCTCATGGAATAAAATGAAAGTAATTCCATGGCCTAGTATGTGTTGGCTTCTCCCTTGTGCAGAATTTAGCAATTTGTTGGAAGCATTGATCCTCCCTCCCAAATGGGTAATCTGACAGGCTTAGAACTCTTGTTCCCGTGCACTTAAACTTGAAGTTAGTACATCCTTAAGTGCTTTTTAGTAGCAGGCTTACGCAAGATGGTATTTAGGATTTTTAGCATACTTTTGATTTCAGATTTTCGCTAAATGAAACTAAAGTACATAATAGGTTAAGAGTCATGTCTATGACCTTCACTCCAAGACCAGCCGATAAAGAACAAAACTCATCCTGTGTTTAGTCAAGATTCATTTCAGTAGAAAATCCTACTAGTTTTTCAAGACCAGAATAAGCCTTTAAAGGTAAGCCTCAAGATTCTCATTTTATGGTATCACTGGCTGCTTTTGGTCCCCATAGATGGAGTAGTTGAAATCTGTAGGAATGAACCTCTGAGGGCTGGAAATGTGACATATTTGGGAACAATTCTTAAACTGATTAACTAGCTGTAATATAGTTTTGTGAATTTATTGCACTGATGCTGTAAAACCTGGACCTTGTGGTGTATCTGTTCCTAAGTAAGTGTTGTTTTCTCTCCTTCAATATTGCTGTAAACAGTGGCACCCATGTAGCATATGTTTGACTTCTCTTTTTTTAATGTTTCGTATACAAACTACCGTAATTTACATGTGTTTCCTCACTGTGAATAAGCTTGTCTTCCTAGATTTTTGTGTGTATGTGTGTTCTACCAATTAACTACTTTTGCAGTTTTAATCCTGTATTATTTCTTCTACTTTGTTTTGTGTAAAAGGGGAAAAATAAAAAAGCTGGAATCCCTCCTTGTGTCCTTTCTTTATAGCTTAGCCAGTACAACGTTTACATGATCGGATTTATGTACCCAATTAATGAACTACCCTGTGTGATCATTACATGGCTATAAGGTGCTCTTTAAGAATAAAATGAAATAAAAGGTTTAAATTTATTCATTCAGTAAACATCCAGGCACCACCCTAGATGGAAAAGGAGATACAATGAATAACTGATGGCCAAAGGTGATGTGTGAGAGGGCCTGGTTGGAAGAATAGGCAGGGAGCCATGCAGGAGAGAGTGCCTGCCCAGGCACCTCTGTACCCTAGGGCCTAGCTCAGAATTCGGTACCTGAGCTGCTCAGTAAATAATTGGTGGGTGACTTTTGTCTGCACTTAGAATTTTTTAAAAAATAGAGCCCCAGGCTTCCCTGGTGGCGCAGTGGTTGGGAGTCCGCCTGCCGATGCAGGGGACGCGGGTTCGTGCCCTGGTCCGGGAAGATCCCACATGCCGCGGAGCGGCTGGGCCCGTGAGCCATGGCCACTGGGCCTGTGCGTCCGGAGCCTGTGCTCTGCAACGGGAGAGGCCACAACAGTGAGAGGCCCGCATACCACAAAAAAAAAAAAAAGAGCCCCAGTTGGATATTTTATCATTAGGCCTTACTATCTATACGTAGTGGATCCTGGGAACAGATTCAATGTCAAATTAAATCTCTTTGCTCCCCCTCTCCCCAAAACGTATGGATCCTTCCTTGGAGCCTCCTGGGGGCTTGATGATGTCCAGAACAGGGAAGTCTCAACCCAGTCACCATAGGTCTCCTCCTGGTCACTGGATGCTCTGAAATGCTGGTCTTCCACATGCAGCTATGATTACTCCCCAGGCCAACTTGGCTACTCCTGTGCTAGCTCTGGCCACAGCACAGGTCCCCTTTCAACTCTTGCCTTTGCACCACCTCTGGCAGAGGTCCTATCATTCCAGAATTCACAGGATGACAAGAGGCAGTTTATACATGGCCCTCCCGCTCCATTTCCACCCTTCTACCCTTTTTCCAGCTCCAATCCAACCATTCTGAGATTTCTGTCCATCTTTATATGCCCTCCTAGCTCTTAATATCTATAGGCCACACACCCTTCCTAACGTTTCAGGATCCCCAAACCCCACAAGTAATTTAGTAGCTTAGACAAGTTATAAGTGACCACTTTTTTGTTTTGATTTTTTAACCTACAGCAAAATTTGGAGACTAAGTTAAGATTGAATTTAGTTTGCTCCCTCATTTGTGAAGTGGAGATAATAGTACAGATCTCACAGGGACATTATGTAATTGCATGTGTTGTTCTGAGGATTCAGTTAATCTACAGGAAGCACTTAGTGGCAGTTAGGAATTAGTAGTTGTTAGCACCCTTCACGACACAGATCAAATGGCGCTTCCTCTGTGAGAGCTTTAGCAACTTTCCAGGCCACTTCTCTGTTCTCACAGCACTTCATATTGGCGTCCTATGTGGCACACTGCCCAGTATTGTGCTGTTATTTAGAGATCTGTCTGCTAGGATCTGTACCTCTTAAGGGCAAGAACTGACATTTTTGTCCTCTCACCTGGTACAACACCTGGCAGGCACATGGTAGGCACTCATTAGATATTTCCTGAATGAAGGGATGAATGAATGAATGAAGTGTATAAAGAGATGGTGGTACTAATTTTCTAGTTATGGTAAGGCTCTTGAAGGAAAGTGGATTTATTCACTTACCTTTCCACTGTTGCTAAGGCCCTCAAGGTGAGCACCACATTTTTAGTCAACAGAATGTGTTGTTAAGTGTACAGGTAACCAGTTCTTAAAGGAAATGTTCATTAGAAAAGCAAATGTCCTTTTGTAAATTAAGTTACAACCAGAGATTTTTATATCCCTGAGATGTTCAAACTGGGAGCTTGGTTCTCCTCAATGTTCACCTGGGATTTGAGAAGCATTGGGGGTGGGGGAGGTGGGCTGTGATGCCAATCACAGACGCTGACTGAGTACGCAGGCTCCCGGGTTTTATGTGTCTCTTTTATATGGATTATTTCATTTACCCTCATAGCAACTTCAACTGATTGGTGTATCATCCCCATTTTGCAAATCGGGAAACTGATTTGCCCATTCATTTATTCAAATACGTGTCAGCCGCCTACTATGTACCAGATGACTTTTCTAGAAGCTGTGGGTACAGCGGTGAACAAAACCAACCAAATCCCTGCTTACTTAATGGAGACAGACGATAAATACACTTCCAATATTTCAGGTGCTAAGTGCTATGGAGAAAAATTAAGCAGTGCAATGGGGTTGGGGCGAATGGGGAGAAGGTTGTATGAGTGTGTGATTGAATAGAGACCTGAGGAAAGGGAGTGGGGAGCAAGTCTTGGGATAAACTGGGGGGGGAGGAATACTCAAGTTAAAGGGAAAAGCAAATGCAAAGACCTTGAGGCAGAGTATGCTTGGTGTATCTGAAGAAAAGCAAGCCAGGGGCGAAAGTTGGGGGGATGATGTTCCTAGGCAAGGAGGCAGGTGTGCAAGTCAGGGAGGACCTTGGTTTTGGTAAGGAATTTGGATTTTACTGAGGGTGCTAGGAACCCTTGGAGAGTGCAAGGTCTGACAAGTTTTAAAGCGATCATTGTGGCGGCCAAGTGGGAAACACAAGGAAGGGTAAGAAGGGAGGGTAAGGGTGACAGCAGAGAGGAAAGCAGTTCATGGCAGAAGTTTCAGATGTTGGATATCTAGCCTGAGGTTACTCAGCTCCGGAGAGGGCGGAGCCAGAATTCACTTCCTCCCAGGCCGTCAGACCCTGGGCTTCAAGCCGTACCTACTGAGCATTTATATACTACGTGCCAGACATTTTGCGAGCCCTTTGTCACCATTATCTCATCTGTTCACCTGGGATTTGAGACGGCTGAGCGTTTATTTTGAAAGCGCTTAAAAGGCTGAGCGTTTATTTTGAAACATTTGTGGCTTTCTTCCAAACTGTGTATCTCAGAACTCAAAAGCAAAGCCTGGAACTCCAGTAAATAATTTCTAATATTTAGGGAGAGTCAAAAAGGAAGCACCGATTAAAAAATATATTTTTGACTGTATGAAAAAGTACTCTATACATGTTTCAAAAAACAAAACTAAATTGTATTGGGAGAAAAGCAAGTCTTCCATCCCAGTTCCTAACGCCCTTCCCAGAGGCATTTACCGATTTCTTGTGGGTCCTTCTAGAGATACTGTAAATACGCAAGTATCAAAATTAATTCTAAATGGTAAACAGTTACTGCAATAAAAATTTGCAAATATCTAGGCCCTTGTCAGTTTTTGACTTTTACGGATTAAATGCTAGAAGGTAGTCGAACCTGTGCTAACGCCGCACCTCCACCAGCTAGCTCCCCAGGGCCTCGCCTGGGTGTTCGACTCCATCGACTCTCTACTGCCCACTCCTGAGGAGGTTCCGCCCCTCGCCCGCCTCCTTCCACTAGGCAATTCATTTTTTAATTTTTTTTGTTTTTGGCGGTCCTTTGAAAGTCTCGCGATAGCCCGACCGCTTCCCATAATTCCGTTCACTCGCCCCGCCCAACTTCTTTCCGCCATTTTTCCGTGCCGGTGAGTGTCTTTCTCTCAACGATCTAGTATCATCCGTCAACTATCGGTGCCATCCTATGGTCTAGGACTCGGCTTCGGTGCCCTGCGAGGATGTCGGAGACCTCCTGGGCCGGGGATACTATCCTTGCAGGGGTCTGGGCAGGCGGAGGGAGGAGTCCTGCCCGGCCGCCCCATGCTCTGCACTCTGGGGAGCCCGGTCTCTGAGGCGCAGGCCGCAGCCCCGGCGGGACCCGGAGCTTTCGACCGTCAGGGGGCAGTCCCGACTCTTTCGGCGGCGCCAGGAGCTCCCATTAGTGGTCGAGGCAGCTCCTTGGCTCCGAGAAGCATCGGGGAGCCGTAACCTTGGTGAGCCGTGCAGCTTCCCATTACTTCGGCTGCGCCGGGAGCTTGGGAGACAGAAGATCCTCAGGAGGGAAAACTGGATCCTGCCTGGGGTGGCGGTTTGCTGGAACGAACTTGGGTCGTTTGGGCCCCAGGGTTTCCTCTCAGACACTTTGTTGAGCTTGAGGAAGCAGGTTGGATCCCTACTGTTGTCATTTGAGGCATGCCTCTATCCTTAGCTTTCAAAACTATTGAAGTTCGTGCCCATTGTGATAGAGTCCATTCTGGTGCATGTGAAATGTTTCTGCTTACCAGTGTGCTACGATTGCTGTTGGTCATAATTTTAGATAGCACAAGGACGGACGTTTCATTTTAATAGTTTACGGGTGTTAGGTGAGAGTTGACTAGTATCTTTTGGGTGTTAGGACAAGGCTGACACTGAGTCAGTTGGTTTAAAGGACAATGTTAAATTTAAATAGTATAGATGCTGCTGGATTCCAGAAGTTTGGAAAATATTGCTGGTGATTATCAGCTCCCGTTCTGAATAACTGACCTACCATGGCTGGTATTTTCATTTGATTAATGAAATAATCAAATGAATTATTTGATTGGACACAGTCGACATATTCCTCTGGGTATCCTGGGGAACTAGCCTGCTTAGAAATGGGGAAACTTCCTCATGATAGAGGCAGAAAGGAAAGGATGTGTTCCCAGTGGAATGATTGGGTGCCTTTTAATGGCAATGCCAATAAAATCCCTGTTTTCTCTTCCCTGAACAGCCATAATGGTGCGCATGAATGTCCTGGCCGATGCTCTCAAGAGTATCAACAATGCCGAAAAGAGAGGCAAACGCCAGGTTCTTATTAGGCCGTGCTCCAAAGTCATCGTCAGGTTTCTCACTGTGATGATGAAGCATGGTAAGTGTCTTGCTGTTTATTATGTTTTGAGGTAAACATGTTACAGAATGGGTCCTGTAGAAGTTAACTGTTGGAGAGATGTGGGGAGATGTGGGAAGATGGGAGAACAAGGTGGCAGTCATACATGGGAACTAATGCAATTGATTGGGGCTGTGGACAGGGTAGTTCTGGACAAATGATGCTGTTCAAGAAATAACTGAGTAGGGTAGAACTGTTGAAAGGAGGAGAAAGTTTGGCAGCTAAAATGGCCTTTCTTTGTGTAACATTGCAGCTGCAACATGTCACTGAAAGGGCCCTGAACCTAAGAGCTCCTTGGGATGGAAAGGAGGATTGTTTTGTCTTGGGCACGAGGTAGCCTTTGGGAGTGGGAAGCCGTGAAAAGGCAAGGAGGAAATAATCCCCTTTTTAACATTTCAGGGTGGATTGTTTTGGGTGTTGCCCCCTAAATTTTAAAAATTATTTTTAATACAGTCACTTGTGTTCTGTAGGTTACATTGGCGAATTTGAAATCATCGATGATCACAGGGCTGGGAAAATTGTTGTGAACCTCACAGGCAGGCTAAATAAGGTAAGGATTGATTATCTTCCATGTTTAAGAACCTTCAGAATGGTCTACCAAGGTGTTCCATGTTATAATTGCCCTTGTAGAATCAGATAATGTGCTTGCTTTAGGTTAAAAAGATTAAGGATTGATTAAAATCGTTAATTTTTATATGGGACCTTTTACTTCGTTTGTTCTCCAGGTAGAATTGTGAGTTAACTTAGTGTTTGTGGAGTAGAAGGTATCTGAAGGGAGATGCGGGAGGGTTGGGTGAAAATGAACAACCGATGATACTGGTGTTTGAAGCTTGGGTGGCTCAAGGCCACTAGTCCCGACAATGTAAATAACTTTTGGTCCTTCGTCTCGCTTGGTGATTGTTGGGTATTTTGAACAGAGAGTATGGGATTCTCTAACTATTAATATTTCTGTTTTTGCTGACATAGGCTGAATGTATGTCTTTGAGGTCTCTTCTCCCTGTAGGCATAATCTACTGAATCTGTTTGATTCTTTTGACTTTGTGGTTTAACTGATTCCATGTATTTTGGGGGCAGGTATCTGTCTATAAGCAAGTTGGGGGTCTCTAAGCTGCTACCCTGCTTTCTGTGTTCAGGTTTGTAGCTTTCCTATTTGCAAGGGGTCCAACAGAGTGGGGCACACGGGCCAAGAAAGTGAGTGGTTAGTGACAGGGGCCAGATTTATTGATAAGGTTATTTCCTGGACCAACAATTCCTATTTTACAAAGTTGGTTCCTTACATAGTGAATTTGCTTCCTGTGTGGATACTTAGTGTCAGATGAAAACTACTGAATTTGAAGCCTTTGAAGAATTTTTGAAGGGAATTTTGGGCCTATGTCTTGTTTTGTTCTGTTGTAGCCATTAGACTCCAATCTCACGGAAGGATTTGGATTCACTTCTCTTTCGCTCTGACCCTCACAATGTTCTTGAAGTACAAGAGGGCGTGTCTTTTTTCCCCTGTTTTTAGGAGTTAGGAAGCTGAGAGCTGAGTCCTGCTCAAGGTCTCAGTAAACTGTGGAAGAGCTGGTTCCAGTATATAGTTTAAAGCTGTCCTGCAGCAGCTTTTGTTGATGTTAAAAAAGCAAAACCAAAAAAACTTAGTTGGAGAAGTGCCCTGTACCACATTTCTCTTGAACTACACATAATAGCTTGAGAAATAAGTTTTAACAGAGTATTTCCCAAATGGAACTCATTTGTGACATCCTTGTTCAGTGGTATACTAGTTTAGAAAATCCTGGCTAACAGGTAGTTGAAATCCAGGCCCTGCCACATTTAACTGTTTGAATTAGTTTTTGGTTTCTCTCAGTTGCAGTTTTCTTACTTTATAAGACATTTTTGCCTCAGTTTCCTTCATGCAGGAGATAGATGTACCTTATTGTGGAATTGTAATGCAGTTGGGAAGTAAGGTAGTGTTTAAAGATTATAGATTAAGAAAATTCTTGCTTTGATTGTATCCTCTTAAGATTCATCTGCTTTGGGAGTGGATGTGCTGGAGTTCTGCTAGCTGAATGGAAGGGATTTTTGCTGCTGGAATAAAGCAAGCCTGGGTGTGGTAGTGTAGAGGCCTCAGAAAGGTCTTTCACTGTAGCTTGCTTGGGTTTTCCCTATTCCTATCCCTGTATTGCTTGCATCCAGTGTGGGATTGCCCTTGACAGTCAAGTGACATTTGTAGCTGGTAAGGTGATGTTATAAAAAGAAGAACCTGAGTGGGCCTCCTGCCATGGGGCAGTTGGGCATGACAGGTCCATTTTCAGTTTCTGTGGGTTCAGATCTGTCTAGGGAAGTGTACCAGCTCCAAAGACTTCACTAAGTTCTAATCTCATAGCCTCTTCTAGTTTACAGTTAAGCATCTTGGAATCTTGAATGATTCTTATGTGGATGTGCACACACAACTTTCTGTCCGCTCCCTTAGCCCTCTGAAGGTACTAATCCTGAGTGTTCTCACGTGATCATTTCTTGTGTGTAAACAGCAGGAGGCTTCCTGCTTTGATTTTTTTTTTTTTTTTTAAGTGCGCTAGTGATTTGTAGAGTTGGTGGTCTAGCAGAGGGCGGGGTCACATTTAGCTCTAATTAACTAAAGAGCCTTTTAGTCCCCTCATTTTCCACCAAATTGGATGTAGTCATAGACCTTGTGTGAACCCACGGATAGATTCATGTAGCCTGTTAGTGGATATTTGAAACTTTATTGTGTTTTATGGTGTAGGTGTGATGGATTGTAGTGCCTTGGCTCTTAGCTCTCACTTTGGAGGATAGTTGTTGCTGTGTCATCTCTCCCACCCAACACTGTCATAGCATGCGGGTGGGATAACTCTACCTCGTTCTGCCTTCTATACATTTTGCTAGATTAGTAGGGCTTGACTATAATTTATTTGTCTAAGACTTGAGTTCTTTAAAATCTGGTCATTTGTGCTGAGGCAGCTCTGTGGGCCATAGGAATGCACACTGGTGTTATCTTGGTGTTTTACCTCTTCTGTTGACTTTTTCAATAGTTTGCCTTTTCTTCCTAAGTAGGCATAGTCTTAATTGTGTTTTTCAAATGGCATTTATATCAAAGATTGTACAAAATAGTTACCCATTAAATGTTGAGTTGGTTGGTTTATATGACTATTCAGTTATAAATGCATTTTAGTGTTACTCTTTTTCTGTTATTGGTGAAGTGTGAACAGCGTTTTCTGTTCTGTTTTTACAGTGTGGAGTGATCAGCCCCAGGTTTGATGTGCAACTGAAAGATCTAGAAAAATGGCAGAATAACCTGCTCCCGTCCCGTCAGTTTGGGTGAGTCAATTTTCCGTATTTAAAAGTTAATGCTGTGGATCCCTGTGATGCAGTTTGACTTGAGCTTTTTTTTTTTTTTTTAACTTAATAGCAGTAGCAGCTGTCTCCGTTTCCATCCTTGACTCAAGGATTAGCTTCTGTGTTGCCATACTTCATGTGTTAGGCTCTAGTTTCTGAGAGGCGTGGAAGAGCTGAGGCTGGCTGAGAGACAGCAGAATTGTGTGCCCTTTAATGTCTGCTCTTTTGGCTCAGTGCATATAGTTCATATATGTTCACTGTGAATCCCTTCCTATGGCCAGAATGACTTCTCAACCATTGGCCTCTGGGGAAACTCGATTTGAAAATCTTCCTCCTCGGTAAGAGACTGAGTTCAAATCCTGGTTTTTCTGCTTTAAACCTGTGAGGCCTTGGGCAAGTCATAGCCTAGATTTCTTCATCTTAAAAATGGTAGTAGTTCTCTTGTAAGTTATAGTATCACCTGATTTAGTTCTGGTAAAGCACTTTAAGATCTGACACAGTAAGTGCTTATCTATTTGTGGTTAAGAACTTAAACCCACAGTCATGTTTGGTGATGCTGAATTTACTCCCACTTCGTGGCTGCCGTATAACAGGTATAGTGTTATGAGCGAGTCATTTCTGATTGTAGTTAACGATACTAATTTTCATGCCTCCCAGTTGGCATACCTTCTGTGTCTTACGTTGATCCCCATAGTAACCCATGAGGTAGCCAGGCCAGGTGGGACGCCCTTTGTCCAAATAACTGTGTACAGTAGTTTGCCTGTGATGGTACACACAGTAAGTGGCAGAAACAATTCAGTCAGTACTTTAATGCTTTAGATTGCATGTCTCCTTGAGAGCAGAAAGTGACATTTTGAAGTTAAAGGAGTTCCAGTCTTTGCTCTTAGGTAACATTGCTTCTCGTTGTTAGCTGAGGCCAGGGCTGTATGTGTATAGCTGATATCTCTGGGTTTGGGTCTTTGGTTCTAGGAACCGTGCCTGTGTACTGCCAGCCTGTGGAGGCAGCATTAGTCTGTGTGTCCATTATGGGAAGGCATCTTAAGCACTGATAAATGTTGGAGTTTTTCTGTACCAGAAAGTAGCTCTGTGTTGAACATTCTTAGGAAAAACTTACCAGCTTTTTTTTTTTTTTTTTTTTTTAAACTTTCCATAGTTTCATTGTACTGACAACCTCAGCTGGCATCATGGACCATGAAGAAGCAAGACGAAAACACACAGGAGGGAAAATCCTTGGATTCTTTTTCTAGGGATGTAATACATACGTGCAAATAAAATGCCTCAGAGGACTCTGGTGCTTCCCTCAGTCGTTTTGAACTTTGTACAGCAGAGTAGCAAGAGCGTCTGCGGGAGTGTACAGCCTTTGTGTTAATTGGTGAATGCTGTTTCCTTGACGTAGAAGAAAGTTTTGACTTGGGATAACTTTCGCCGTCACCCTTGTGGCTCACCAGAGGAGGGTGTGTCTGGCCCTGGATGGTTGACTCTGGGTTGGGGTCCAGGTGGTGGAAGCTGTCCCTTTCTGGAGTCTTACATTAACCCTGGAAGGAGTGGTGCCTTTCCTCTTTTTAGCTTGACAGAATACACATTTCAAGCCCTAAAAATATGATATGGTTGTAGTTGATTATGTAAGTGCTCATAAGGAAACAGATAACTAGAGCCCCACAGCTCACTAAGACTCATCTCAAAGTAAATTTGGATGGCATATCAGGGACATTTTAGCAATATGTGGTTATAAAATGTCATTTTTTCCAAAAAGTGGACCATCTTTTAAAAACTAGTTTTACTGTAAACCTGTCACCAAGTATATTCTGGAATTGGCGAGAATTAGTTTACTGGACCACTTGACCTGGGAAATGCTTGTAAAGAGCTCAGACACCAAAGAGAGGGCAGGGGTGGCTTTTGTGAAACAGACCACGGCTCCACTCTCCCTTCTAAGAGTAGTGCTGTCCAGTACAGCTGTAACAAGAGCTACACTAATGTGTAGTTAAGCCTTCTAGTAGCCGCGTGAAGACAAAGAGAAACAGCTGGGATTGATTTTTTTTTTAATAACATTTTGTGTTCAAAAGTTAAAATTTCAGCATATACTTGATGTGAAAAACAAATGGGATTGTACTCTTCATGATGTCTTTGAAATGATGAACACTACATTTATTTACACCTAAAGCACATCTTAATTGGGACTAGCCTCTTTTAATAGCTACATGTGGCTGGTGTTCCGTATTGGACAGCACAGTCTAGACTCTTGATTCTTGGTGGGTCTGGCCAAGGAGAAAGGATGCTTGGAAGAGATCCTGGGTATGTTATGTAATTGAGCACCTAGCCAGCTGTATTTTCCTGCATAGGAGTAGGGTGAATGGGGCAGCTCAGCCTTACAAAAAAGGACAGCAGCTACTTTTCCTCAGTTGTCTGCTGGTCAAGTGGGCCAAAGTTAAAAAGGCTGTCAGGTTGTAGGCCTTATTACAAGATGTCCAATAGACCCAATAGGATGTTAGGTGCCTAAACCTGTCTGATGTATGGGTTTGATTTTATTTTTCTTTTCAGAAAAGGATAAGTTTCACAGTTCTCCATTGGGATTGTTTTGATAACTTTCCTATAGGGCTGTTTTTTGACTTTCTTCTGGGTCAGACAGTTCTTGGTAAAAACCCTTGCTGACCTGGCGTAAGGTGAATTCTGGCAAGTGACGACTTCTTTGTTCTTCCTGTTGGGTGAACAGGGACAACTTAACCTCATGGGGTTGCTAACATGGACTGGTGCATGGCTTGTATTCAGTAACTTAGTAACTTCCTGGAAGGAGGGCCTACTGTAAGATATGGGAAACAGGAGTACCTAGACACCCTAGAGATGTGGCTGGTAACCACATGTGGTAGGCCTCACTTGCCAAAATGTGAGAAGAAAAGTTGAGAGGCATGTCTGGGTTTGGGGCCTCTGATGTTTGGAAGGCCATGAGTAAGTAACATGGGTTTGGGGGCTCAGTACACCAGGATTGAGGTCTGCTTTTCCACGTAATAACTTTGATTCCCTCATCTGTATATTGGGGATAATGGAAAAAAATCTACCTCAGTTGAGGGAAAGATGAGGTTATATAAAATAGCACTTGACAGTCATTTTACAGCTGTATTTGTCAGACACTGAAGTGAAGTGAGTCTAGAAGACCAAAGAGCTAATGGTTGATTGGTTCTCTTAATGCCAAATTTGTAAGCTCTAGGTGGATGGAGGCCATGTTTTGTTTACTGTTGTCTGGTCTCTAGCCTGATACATGGCACATAGGGGAAGACTCAGTAAGTACACGTTGACTGAATATCATACTGGGCATTGACTTCCAATGCTAAAGTGAGGACAAGAAAATGGCCCTATTTGCCATTAGTAGGGATCCTGTGTCCTTTAAAATGAACAAGGCTGGGAAAAATCTGGATAAGGAAAATTGGGTGACCTGTTGATGAATTTAACAGCACATGAGTGAGGAAGCAGGTGGCCTTAGTCCTTGTTTCTGAGACCCAGTAAGAGTTGTAACATGACCGGGGGCTGGTTGGCTGGGTCTAGCCGCCTGGGTTTGAGGCTCTGGAGATAGTTTAGGTTCCTGCTGGCATAATGACTTGGCTCAGAGTTGTACTTTGCTGTGGTGTGAACTCAGCTTTTCCTCCTAACGTGCTACTGTTGCCAGCCGGCAGAGATCTGGGGTTCGGAGTGGGACAGCCCACCAGATGCACTTTGAGTCAGTGTTAAAGGGGGCCGCAGCACGTACCCAGACCCTGGAAGTCAAAACCGCTGCCAAGAACATCCTCCATGTTTTAGCAGCACGTCTGTGTCCGCGCCAGTGCATGCCGTGTCCTCATTTAGAACCTGTTTTGCCTTGCCTCTGGGTGACTTGGGTAGATAGAATTCTGAGTACTCAGTTCTCTGGGAAAGCCAGAGTTATTACAGCCTTCCTTGGTCAGGTCAGCATCTGAGATTACTTTTCCCTTCTCCCCAGGCTAGGAAGTTAGGCTAGGAAGTTCGCTTTCCACTACTGACCCCAAAGAAAGCAAGCTCCGGGAGACCCGAAGTCTGATTCTTACTTGGCTTTCCAGTCGAATTCACTGTTTCCCAAAACAGCTGACCATACCAGTTGTTTCATCTTTAATATAGAGATAATCTAATCCTAAACTCTAAATCACCCCCACATATGTGCCCCACCTCTGAGCCCTTGCTTATGGCTCACCCTACCTGGAATGCCTTCTCCTCTTCCCCAGAGGTGTTCCCAAGATCCAGCTTAAATGTCACTTCCATCGTAAATCTTCCTCCAAAAGGAACATGTGTTGTTATACTCTATCTTTTCTCTCCTAAAGATATAAATGCCTTAATAAGGCTAATAGTAGTTTTTAGTGTTTGTTAAATGTTTACTGCTATATGCCAGGCATGGAATAAGAGCTTTACATGTATCATCTCATTTCATCTTAATTCTGCATGATGGCTACTATTGCTGGCTCCAGTTTTTCAGGTGAAAAAAATGAAGCACAGAGCTTTGACACCATTTATTGAAGATGCTAGGGAGTGGCAAAGTCAGGATTTAAATGCTTTACCAGTCTAAGTTTTCTGGCCCTTATGTTCTGGCATACATTCTCTTTATCTTCAGTGTGTAACTAAATTTATTATATGTTTACTATATCCAGGCACTTGGGGTACCCAGGGTGTGCCAACATCTAGTCCATGTTCCACAGCAGGAACCCTGTTATCTCTGTCCCCAGCATCTAGCCTATCAAAGATGTCAGCATGTTTAAAAAAGTCATCACTGACCCTCTGGGCCATGGGAGAGTGTTTTTAAAAGTGTAATCCCATCCAGTGCCTGTGTTATAGTGTTGAGTCCACAGAATTCCATGGTCCCAAGAATCAGTCTCAGGGAAGCATGGGAGTAGGGTGGGATATGGGCAGGATTCAGTTCAAGGTCACTGTCCTGGCACCCAGGTTCCCAGTTTTATGTTTTAAGTAATCTAATGGGCAATGAAAGTGCTGCAGACCACACAGAAAATAAGGGAGGCAGTAAAGAAAGATATGGTTAATAGAATGGATCACATGCTGTGTGATCTTGGGCCAGTTGCCTTTCCTTTATGTGCATCAGTTTCTTCATCTTTAATGTAGGGATAATGGTACTACTCTCTGTGGTGGTCATTAAGATTAAATATAATGCTTGTAAAGTGCTGGAATGGTAATTAGAGCTGTTGGCAAAATATTCAGGTTCTCCACCTGACAGGCACATGTACTTTCCATGTGATGAATTCTGGTCAATGAATGAGCTGTGAGCAGAAGTGATGTGTGTTCCAGGCTGGAGCATCTAGTGGCTGGTGGGAGAACTCCCATGCACCCTGTTTCTTTCTGCCATGGTGATGGGCACTGGGCTGCATTAGCCCAGGCCTGGGAGTGTGGATGACAGTGCAGAGATCCAGCTATTCAGCAATGACAGAGTAGGAAGAGCAAGAAATCACCCGTTGATGATTCTGCTTTGTTACTAGCCTCCTGCTACAAGTGCTTAGAGCAATCTCTGAAATTTAGTAAGGGCTTATTAAGTTACAAAAAGGAAATGGGTGGGCTATAGAATAATAGGGTTTATCATTCTTTGAGTGGATGTCAGGAGACTGTAGGACCCTCTGTTCTCAACGTGGCTTTTTCTGTTACCCACCGCAACCCCCTCCATGCGTACACGTGGCTCTTACGTACCCCCAACCCGCAGCCCTCTGACACAGACAGTCCGTCCTTAGGTGGGGCACCTGCCTCAAACCAGGTAGAGGATACATGAGGGTTTTTGAACCTGGAAGACGTGAGGTTTGTGTCTTTAAAATGGTGGAAATGATAAGATAAAAACCTTGAGTGCTGCTGATTATCATGATTTCGGCCTCGTGGAAGAAGATGCTTGGAGCAACAGAGGAATGTCCCTGAGCAGACAGATGCATCAGGTCCTTACGGTGTTCGGCTTCCAGTGGTTCCTGAGATGCAGCTGCACCCTACCCTTCCCATGTTCATATTCTGTGAGCAAGGAATAACATTCTCCACTATTTTTTTTCAAAAGTACTAGTTTGAACTAAATTTAAATTTAGTGTATTTAAAATAAATTAATGAAGCTAAAATTAAATTTACTGATTTGAACTAAATTCTAGTTACTTGCAAACTAACACAGGCCTACTTGCAGCTCTTTCACCAATCTGCTCTGGAGCTTCTTGGGGATCAATCTTGTCATCTGTCAAATGGGGGCTGGGATATTAGTCCTACCTGCTTTTTGAAAATATTGAAGTATAGTTGATTTACAAGGTTGTGTTAGTTTCTGGT